CTATACAATAGATCTTAGGCCGTTTGATATGATCGGCTCTAGAGGAAGATGTCACGATCAAAAGATTTTACTCAAGTGTGATACTAGTGGCGTGAGTTCTAGTGAACAAATAATTTCTTTGTTGAATGACAAGATTATAAGGTGAGTACGAGTTGCTGAGCGACACGAATAGTTTATCTGTTCGAATTAGGTAATTATAATAGTAATCATATGAATCACACCACCAGCTGTCATCAGTCATTGGTCATCATACTTTTAATTGATAGATGTTTTAGAAAGATGTTAAAAACCCCTTTATTTCGAAGTTGTAATTGATTAAAATTTACTGCAAATTCTGCATATTATTAGATCAGCTAAGTGAATATCTTCACGCTTTTGGACCCCATAATTTCGCTTGGTCAGGTCAATGATTCTTGACCTTGAATCAAGCCAATCCGAGTGGGAAGACAAAAAATAATATTTCTTTCAGAAAGCAAGAAGTATGCTGTCAATCATATTTGAAGTAATTTAAATACATTATCTGTGTTGCGTGATCACTGAGGAAATTCTTAGGCTCATGTTGTTATTCTCTCATTTTGCATGTATGTGATATGACACTTGTGAAAATGAAAATTTTTCTTCTACGTGTAAAGGCAATGTGGATAACTTGAACATCAACGTGATAGTACATAGATTTGTGCCAAGATAAGGAAACAAGATTCAAGATCTTCATTTTTGCCTTTGATTTCGTCCATCATCCCTTTACTTCAATAAAAGACTTACAAAACTAAAGATGTGGATCACAACGAGATGAAAGAGCAATATGTCGGTGCTTACTACTTAATGTCGGTGCTGGCTGCAAAGCGGCTCTCTTTCGTTTATCGATATTCCCATTGATACTCTGCCTAATTTCTCCCTTCTTTATCGCATGTGCTTTAGAATGTGACGAGCGTCAAAATGCTTCCAGGGCCAAGCTTAAATCTCTCGATTGGCGGTTGTGTGAATACATGGTAAGGGTATCTCTGGGCTCTGTATCTCTCATCGTATAGTTCGCAGGCTGCTCAACGGGTTTAGGGTCATTCAGCGTCACCAGCGACAGAGGTTGCAGTCATGAAAGGCTTTCAATGGAGTCCAGTGATGAAGATCTACTCGGCGAAATTCCGACATTGTGCGAGATAGTGCGACAGACCGCTCGTGCAAGAAATTCACAACCAAGTAGTCAAAGAAGTTGACTACCTCAAGTCCTAAAGTCGGTTCTGCACATTCATACAGATCGACCTTATAAAATAGATCTGCCTGAAGACATTTTAAGTCTCGAATGTGGTCATGGCGAGATGCCTCTTTGCCAGCAATTGCTCCGAAAGTGTGAAGATGGAACCGAAGTTTGTGACCAGCTAAAGTCTCCAGTCGGTGGGTAGCGTTTGTGACGTTGCTGTTGCACGGAAGAAAATGAAATGATGTCGTAAGGCCATGACACTGGAGAGATGCCAGTCAGACATTTAGAGTTCTCACAATAATGGCCGTATATGCACTGGAATGGTCCAAGTTGCTGCCTTGAGATCCTACCCAAATGTTGCCATCCTCGTCAGCGAGGATTGGGGTTGTTGAGAATTTACCACATATCCTCTCACAGTTTCGACAGCACAGGTAGTCCTGACAAAAGTTTTCGGAGCATTAGATCCAAGAGGAGAAACGTAGACGATCTTTTTACGTCGAGTAGAAAGTACGAACAGGCTCCAGTTTCATCAGGATTCGCTTTTTCCCACATGTTGCAGGTATCGACGTAATTTGGCTTTAGTTCTGTATACATCTCATTGTGCACTATGAATAATGTCCGAGTCAGGAAGAAAAGTCTCTGAACGCGGCATTTCAATTTGATACCATGACACTCAATCTGTCACCATCGCTATAATTCAACAGCACGTTTAGCTTTTCGGTATAATCGCCAAGGTGCAGGATGGAACATTGCAGTACATAGTCGGTACCAATTATCGAATGCAAGAGCGAAAGCGGGAGCATGTAAGTAAAGTTCAACGTGATCACACGACATCCAAGGACGACACGCACTTTATGAAGTTACCCTAACTTGTTATCTCCCTGCCTATTCTATCCACCGAACTTCGAGTAAAACCTAATTTTCCATCTATTGAAGATGAAATGTAGGTGGACTCCAGAGGCACAGCGTTACACGATAGTAATTCGATTGATCTCGAGGAGCATCGAGGTGAAGAAAACGGGAATCCGCAATGAACAAGAAATAAACAGCGGCACTTGATGTACCCAAGAGGCCAGGCCGTATCCATTGTTCCGACTGGGGCGGGGCTTCTTACAGAGAAGTTTAGCCAAGTGGGCTGTACCGCAGACAGGTTTAGCATCAAGCATGTGAATCACGACGAAGTACACGCTAAAAAGTGCCTGACCCAGATCACACCGAAAATCTGAAGAGCTCTGTTACAGTAGGAGCAATCATCGATGGCAAGTTGGTTGGAAAAAGCGTGACACTTGTTTTAGTGCAATCCAGATGACGGTCGACACTTTCCTCCTATGGCGGCTAGATTGATTCGCAATAGCTCTACCGTCCAGTTAGAGAGAGAGAGGGAAAGGCTCTCCTGCCATATAGGGCATAGTACCTGCCAAAGACCTGCTGTGACTTGAATTGACAGCCAGCGACAAACGACTATTCTCCCGCAGGCTGCTGCTGCTGCGGATCCGCTTACATTGCCATTGGTTGCGCTGGAATGATTATCGTACACGTAGCTCGCATGCTAAAAGGAGTCGACGGATTCATTAGCACCAAATTTGCTGCTTAATTTTTCCAAGATTTGTGAGAGGTGGAGTGTACAGATTGTCGAATCCCAAAGGATTTCAGCTACCCTAGTGTAGCGAAATGTCATCTCACTTTTATGGCTGGTGGGATCAGATGTCATCTCATTTGGAGGTGAAAGTCTTTTATTTGCATGATATGATTACATTTTTATTCGCCAGCAGCTTTTTCTGGACAGGAACCTTGGCTACCAACTGTCGCACACCCAGAGAGTGGGCCGAGGCCGGATCTAATGCGTGCTGTGGTTTTCAGTCCAATGAGAGTAAAGTTTAGCATCTTATGGACAGTGCAGAAAATGAGCAGATTGTGTGCGTGACATCACACGTGATGTGTGTGGGCGATATGTATGCTGCCGATCGGACCCCATACGATGTTATTCTTTGCTTGGCAATAAAAATACGATTCCCTTGCCACCTTGCACGCACATTCGTGCAGGAGCTGGTAGCTTGGAAATACGATCGAATTTTTTGAGTATCAAATACCACCTCGATGAGATTTAATCCCTTCAGCGGATTTCTCCACAGATGCTCTCGGTCGGTGGATGAATGCGATAATCAATATATCGAACATTTTTGTGCCTAGTTGCTGCAACTTCATTGTTCATGAATCTTAACCAAAAGTTAAGATCTATGGGTGAATGTCGACCAATTGAACTGTTAGTAACATCAGCATTTGTAATATTTCTCAAAAGGGCTGAATATTGACTACTCTACTGCCGATACTAGCTCGATGTTATTTATCCTCATCAGCACGTTTTTCCACAGATGCTCTCGGTCGGTGGATCAGAGAGGTGATCATTGCATCGAAATGTTTTTTGTCAAGGTGCTGCAAATTCAGCTTCATAAATTTCATGTAAGTAATGTGAAAATTAGCTAACAATCAAGAGCTATCGGTGAATGCCGGAAAAGGTTTAGTGTTAGTAGCAGCTAACAGTCAAGAGCTATCGGTGAATGCCGGAAAAGGTTTAGTGTTAGTAACAGCTAACAGTTAAGAGTTATCGGTGAATGCCGGAAAAGGTTTAGTGTTAGTAACAGCTAACAATTAAGAGTTATCGGTCAATGCCGGAAAAGAAGTATTAGTAACAGCTAACAGTAAAGAGTTATCGGTGAATGCCGCAAAATGTTTAGTGTTAGTAACAGATAATAGATAAGAGTTACAGTATCGGTGAATGCCGGAAAAAGTTTACTGTTGGTAACATCAACATTGGTTATACATATCACAGGAGCTGAATATTAAGTACTCTATCGTCTACATAGAGCATTACTTAGCATTCGATATTGCCAGTATTAGTTATAGTGTTCTTTGGTAAAGTCCACTTATATGAGAATAAGACTTATACCGTCAATACCGGCAAGTAATCGAACATTGCCTTGCGATGTGGAGAAAGGAAGATTCGTGAACAGTTGTCCAATTAGACAACCCAAGGAAGAGCTAATGATTAGCATGAAACTTCGTGACCAAACTTCATGCGGATGATATTCAGAAACCTCATGCAGTTGGCAGCCAGACCAGCTTGAAAATCAACGTCCATGTTTAGCAAAACCATGAGAGGAAGTCTCGGGTCGCTCGGCCAGCTCGAAGTGCCGAGCTTCGGTACTAAGAAAGCTCGACGGTCCTGCATGAGAAATCCAAATTTGACCAGAGAATATGATCACAGCAGCAGCTTGATGTACTGCCACATGATCCGAGATCGAACCCAATCAAAGCACCAGCTAGCTCTCAAGAACACACGAGGCTGAGTAGGGTCAGGACTAAGGAGACCGAGCCCAGTAATAATGCTGACCGCTGGCATCCTCCGAGTAACCCATCGTAACACATTTGGAGCTTCGGATCTGATCGAACATTATGATTGCCTAGGCTAGTAATCGATCAGAATCCCGTGCCAGACTGATCGAGAGAACACACGGGAAGGCGATGCAAGCAGGCAGGCAGGCAGTAGCTGGGCTCCTACTGGGAGACGAGCTCTGGGTGGGGTCTCTCCCGAGACAAACACCTGTTTATGCTGACGATCATCAGAGCACGCGGAGCAGCAAAAGTCCAAACGAGCTCGGTGCAGTTTGTTAGCAACAGTGGTCAACCATGGCATCCACACGCTTTCCAATAATTTATTGTATTTCTTCTGCAGAGCGAGATTCCGGCCTTCCATGCCCGAGGCATATGTCTTGCTGACCCAGGGGCCACTGATTGACTTGATTCACTCACTGTCTGTCTAGGCCGAGAGCGAGGGGAGCGTCTGGGGGAGGTAGCGAGAGAATTCTCTATTCTCGGGTCCCCATTCTGGCCTCTCGCTCCACAAGTTGGAATCTCTTTCCACCCCCGCTTCGTTACCTCGAGGCTGTGGGTGGGAGTGTAGTCGAGCTAGGACCGCAGCTCTAGCTCCAGATCCAGCTCCGGTTCCAGCTCCAGCTCCACCCCCGGCCCTGGGCATGCATGGTCCCGAATCAATCAGCCAATGAAGCAAATCCCTGACTCGACCAACAAAGAGGGTTACCCATCGCTCGTGCCATTCTTTCACTCATTGTTGATTTCATGCATTCTTAGATTCAGTCTTTCATTCATCTACTAAAAGCTTCTCTCCAGCTCCTTTCTTCCAGGGGAGTTCACGTTCGGTTTTCGCCCTCTCGCCACCTCTGGCTCCCTCTGGCTCCCTCTCGTCTTCCTCTCACAGAAGTGAGGAATCGATCGCCACTGCATCATCATCTCTGAAGAAGCCCAAGGACCTTCTAGCTTGCTAGCGAGTGAGTGAGAGAGCCAGCGAGCGAGCTAGACGACGGCTGCCATCGCCACAAATATCGACAGGAAAAGAGTCCCCAGTACTTACAGGTCATTGCAGCTGGTCGATGAGATCTAGCTGTGGGATCGAAGAGACAGAAAGCGAGAAAGACAGAGAGAAAGATAGAAAAATTGTAGTTTTAGAGTTAGTGAGTCCTGCGAATTTGTTCCACTGACATAAATTTATCTCGAGGGCAAGGGAGGGACGGAGGGAGGGACACGGGGAGAGATGGGAAATCTGGCATTGGCGACGACCAGCTGCATAGGAATGGGTGTCGTGGAAGAGGAATTAGCATCAGCAGCAGCAGCAGCAGCGGGAACAGCAGGAGGGACGAAGAAGAAAGTGGTGACAGTTTTGAAGCAGGATGGGACCGTCCTGGAGCTGGCGCAGGAGGTGAGAGTCTCGAAGCTGCTCAAGGATTATCCGGGGCATTTTGTGTGCAAGTCCGAAGAGCTGGGCTCCGGGGGCAAGGCCAGGATTCTGGGTCCCAACATTCTTCTCCAGCGCGGAGAGGTCTACCTCGTGCTCTCCCAAAATCAGGCCTCTATGCGCAGATGCGGCAGTAGGCGCTCGAAAATCAACCCCTTGGTGCCTCCTGCAGAAAGTGGCCCCCAATCGCCCGATCCTCCTCGAGTCGAAGCATCATCCGACAGCCCCAAACGATGTCAGAGGATCAGGCTGGTCATGTCCAAGCAGCAACTAGCCAAAATGATAGCAGGGGGCTCCATGCTCATTTCAGCCGCAGCCAGCAGCAGCTGCAAGGCTGTCTCCAATCCCTTGTCCCTGAGCTCTAGAGTCAGTAGAGCAGCAGGCTTCTCTTACAGTAGCATGAGGCTGTTCAACCATCCTGTAGCTACGAATAAGAGTTGTGCTCGACCCAAAAGAAGCTGGTGTCCGCATCTGGATAGCATTGTGGAGGTGCCGAGTCAATAATTGAAGAATGATGCAGTCATCCATCCGATCCTCGATTTATTTCTAGTTGTATCAGTAGTATGGGGTAGTAGAAGAGGAATGGTCATGGTCGTATGTACTAGACTTGCTGGTAATTAAACAAACCTCTAGCGATTCTGCCAGCAGCCATCATCATCGTTGAAGAATGTGGGTAAACGGATTGTGTCAACAGAGTGGGGCAAAATTCTGGGGAGATCGAGATTCGTGTGTACAGAGTTGAAAGATAGTTCCCCCGTCCCTTTTAAGTGAATTCTCGATTCGAGTAGGAGAAAGAATTAGAGCTGATTTTGTAAATTAGATGCTGCAGCTGCACCGTTGGTGTGCATAGTAGATCATACCCGCACGTTTGTGGTATAAATCGACTGAAAAATCGTCTGCCTCCGAGTCCAGAGCTCGAAGCTCGGCGGCTTGGAAAGCTTGTAGTAATTAGCAGGGCCGTTGTCCAACTCTTCAAATGGATGTAATCCATCCTGAAAATTGCCACTAAAGTCCATCTGAAAATCTCAATATTTCAGAGTTCCAGTGAGAATGTACACCGGAACTGGAACACCACTGAAAATAAGATTTTCACTGCCAGAACTTCTGCGCAGTTCGGTATCGAAGTTTTTTTGTCGATGGGAATGTGCTCAAATTCATGGACCTGTTTCTTTCAATGCAACCATAGATTGTCGCATAATGCCATTTCATGTCATCTCGAAGTTCTTCACGCGTAAGACTCAGCCCCAGCAGTAAATGTCTCATGGGCAGCCAAGCTGCAGTTATTATTAAATTACTCGTTGGAAATGTATATGACTATTACAATGAGAAGAAGTGCGTCTCAAACCAGATTTTTAGCATGTCACGGACCTCGCCTGCAATTGCTCATGCTGATATCAAGCAGACATAACAGCTCACATGTAAGAACTGGTGAGAATCATAGCACTGATTATCAATAAAGAGGCTGGCAAAGCCTCGAGGGCCAGTTGTCATGGGAGCAAAAGAACCCAAACACTGTTACAAACTGGTTGTCAGATTGTCTTATTGAAGCGACTGTTACCGCAGTGTAAGCTCAGCTCGTCCATGGCTACGTAACGTCGTACACACTGAACTGTACGCAGTTATATCGTCTGGCTTGCAGGCTACAATGATATAAAATTAAAATGGCTCCAAGTTTGAACAGATTCCACCTCCTGTATGTGACGACATCAAACGCTCATCGCTATTCATCACCATGAAGAATACAGTGAAAGTGCTTCCAGTAAAGCCATCCTCAGCGTTGTGCTCTTACTCATCATCACCATTGGCTCCAACGTTTTACTTCGGATTACCCTCATACCAAAGCAAAGGAATCTACTGCCGAAAGGAATTTGTCACAGCAACTCCTCATCCTCCTCTGTAACTACGACCGAATCAAATCATATGGGAGACCCCTTTTCCATCATAAACAGCATGTTAGTTTAGCTCGTCAACAGCTGAATTGACCAGCCTTATGAAACTTTCCATCGTATAAAAAGTTTTCACTGGAATCAACCACTCCGGTCAGAGGGTTCTCAATTCACTTGACATTCAATTCAGGTCGGATCCAAATCACAATACCTCTGCACCCCATGCACGATAGGAATAAAATCATGATGAATTTATTACCAGCCGAGCGCAAAAGGAACGCACTGCAGGATATGATCGAAGAAGCACTGCATGCACCCACTTGGCCTCCGAAACGAGGTTCTACAAATGTATCCCGTCCCTGAAACGTTCGGGATGCGTGAAAATTTGGTTTGTCAACCAGACCAGTCCACGACATCGTTTAAGGCCGCACAGTGTGTCTGTTTCGAGCAGTGAACACATATCAGCCACAATTTGGTAGCAATCTCTCGCGATTCGTTACCACTGTGACTGGATCTTCGAGGGCCCACTCTGTCCGAGTTTATAAAAAGGTATCTGGTGGGCACGGGCTCATATAATATATGGATTATAGTCGTACCACTATTTGCAACTTTCATGTTCAGAGTTTTGCACGCTTTGATTTTGTTGCTTCAGTTGCTTGCAAGGATAAGTTTACTGCAATGGCCATGAGCAACAAATGAAACCCTCTTTCTACTGTTCCCTGGATTGCGGTGCTAGCTACTGATCACGACATGCCTCGAGGTAGAGTTTGGAATTTCAAGAGATTGACCATCCCAGTCAAAATCCCGTTGATCAGTCGATTTCTTGATCCGCTGGCCAAGTAAGGTAGGAAACACGAATACCAGCGGGAGCCCAGAACGAGGAGCAAAGAGATGTCCGTGTGAGAAAAGCATCATCGAGCTTCGAAATTATTTGACTCCGATTCGCTTGCTTGTCTCCGTCTTACGTGTCTCCGTCCAAGATTTTCTCGGACTTCTGAGTTGGTCTCTCCCTCACAAAATTTCATCCTCTGGATATTCGGTGAGCTGTGGAAGACGTGCTCCCTGTCATCTTCTGCTTTTGGTAGACACAACTGAGTCTAGTGGTATAGAATCACCCTGACAAAACTCAATTTTGGATTGCTGGTTCGCTGCGTGATGGCTTCTTTTGGATCGATCTGGTCGGCAGGGCAGGCTCGATGATCCACTGACTGCTGCTGGAATTCGCAACGTGGAGGTAGGTTTACAAGAATCTGTAATCGATCAAGTCCGCGTTTCTGCAGAGTGCAAATGCTTGAAATGAAACGTCGGGAACGTACATAGAGCTGATGGACGCTGCCTTGGATCGAATCAGGGAAAGAGATCAGAAGACGATGCAGAGAAGATACTTCAAAAATTCTTCGTGTTCGGAGGCTTGTTCTGTTCAACTACTTATCAAATTTATCTCGTTCCTTCCATGATCTTCTCAGACAGTCTGAAAATGTAGTTGGAGGAAGCAGTCTTCTTGCAGAGGATGGCAGAACGAATGAATCCGAAACTAGATCCCATGAAAGCTTCACACATTAACGACCTCGGACTCTGTTTGTTAAAATGAGTTTCATGGTGTACGAAGTGAGCCGGACTTTGAGCCCGGTCGCTATGTACATATCTGGACATGGGTGGAATCATTCTGGTGACTCCAGCCGCCATCAGATCATGAAGAGATTTCGAAGAAGCAGATAAACTCTGAGCTACAAACCAACTGCTCTCCTACCTACCGGTCCAGTCCGATCAGACTGTCATCTTCATCCTGCCGTTAGCAGTGGTCCAGTTCATCCATTGGTCACGGGCCTCATCACCGGAGAACTATTGGAATGCAGAGGAACAGATATCCTCATGTTGTTGTGTGATCATGGAGATGGGAATCGACAGGAACCGACGACTGTGAGTGCAACAGCGCGAGCTGCTGCAATTTCTCACCACGATCCCTGAGATTTATCAGCTCCAGATTGTCTGCACCGATGTGGGCGTCGACTGGAGCTCTCAAAGTGAGTCCTCACTCAACAAGTGAACTCACCATTCGAATGTATGAGCCTCACATTCTCCACGGAACTTTCAGAAACAAAAGCCAGCCCCGAAACTGCAGGACGAGCACGATGCTCTCACTCACTCAGATCACTGGGGCATCTATTTCGTTATCAGATACCTCATGGAGGCCAATGACAAGTCCGTTCCTCAGCATGGTGTTCCTCAGTCTGATGACGAGGTCGACAAATCGTGGGGTGATAGCTTGTAGCTTGAAAGGATTCAGCCCGAATTTGAATCTGCACCTCGACCTGGTGGGCCAGCCGTTCCCACTTGCATGCGGAGGAGCAGAATCTACTGCGTCAACTTAACCGAGACACTGGCCCCGAGAAAATCAACATCCACTAATTCTAGATGCAGAATGTCTGTGTCCATGAGTGAGAACACACTCTCGAAAACTGAGATCACCACTGATCCAGTGACATTGATATCCTTGTTTATCTCCTCTAATTGTGAATGTGAAAAGTACTGCTCCATCTGCATCACACATTCCTGGCATTTCTCTGCACTTGAATACATATGGGATAATTTGGCCGATGCATGGGCTCACACCTGGATCCCTGTGCCAATGGCATCTGCTCCTCCCACACAGGGGGCTCTCAACTGCCATGCTTTAGTTGTGAAGACTGATGCGAATCACGTCACGCCATTCGATTGCTGTGGTCATCTCGAGCCATGAATCCAAGCCGTGGACTTGTGATACCTGATGATCACTAGCTCACGTTCTCGTTCATATGGATGGCATTCACGTCCTGGCAACGTGCATGTCATCCAAGAGAAATTGCACCACACATGACGAAGTTATTCCCGGAACTTAACTCGGCTTTCTTAGCCGGTGTGCAGAGCACTGGCTTAACTGACCCCGTGGGCTGGGAGGAGACGAATCATGAAGGACACGGCTATGCTTAAAGACAAGTTGTCACGAAGTACAGTCTCTGGGATGACTAGAGGATAAACATGGAGCTCGGAGCAGGACGTGAAGAGACATGAACAGGCTTTGGATTCCTTTGGAGGAACCAACAGAGATTCGTAGATCACTGTTGGCACTTCGGTGGAAGGATTGTGAATTGGTTGATGTTAAATTATAGTGATATGCAGTGACTTGAACTTCGGCTTTGAACCAGCGGGAAGCAACTTACATTAGCGAGGGCACGAGTCTATCTTATTGTAAGTCATGAGCCATGAGTTTTTCTCAAAGTGCTTTGATTACAGAAAGCATCACCTAATTGAATTCATATGAAATCAATCGAGGTAGGTGAAGGTTTTTCCTATACCGATGTGGTGTGTAGACTTAGATAGGTCTAACCTGTATTGATTGATCAGGTAGTCTAGCGATATCAGAAGCATCATTGTCAATGATGGACATCAAATGAAAGACATGGTAGAACAACAAAAAGTAGGGAAAGAATAAAAATGCTGACTTATACTGACCGGTGTACAAGGGAGTGATACGAGTTATTGCTTTACTGGAGGAGTTCAAGGAAGTAATGGATTCACAAGATAATGCAAACCATCTTACGTGATGATTTGTTACTTTATCAAACTCCCGATTTTGCAAAGATTCTGCTGTCTCTATTAAATTTCTACAAAAGAATTTCCAAAGCGTGCAAATTAGAAGTTTCCGAATCAAATTGACAGATAAAGAAACTAAATTCCTACCAAAAGGAAGAAAAGAGGTTCCAGCGAGGCTCGAACTCGCGGCCTTCTGCGTGTAAAGCAGACGTGATAACCACTACACCATGGAACCGGATGTGAAACAGTTAATAGTAATTTATATTAGTAATTTTAAAAACTCAACCGGAAGAGAACTTTTCATCTATAAAAAGACTTTATCAGTAATATCAAGTATTTTCTGAAGTGTATGCGGAGATTGAAAGCATTGAGCCAAATTTTGATAGTATTATCTCTATACGGCCCTTTCAACAGAAATTTGCAATCGTTGTTTCGTTGTTTCGATTTTGTCCATACCTCAAGTTGTTGTACAGAACCTATGTCGGACATCTCCAGGTGAAGTTTCACTTAGTTAAGTACCAGGCCATGCGATATCAAAGACACATTGAATCGTGAGGTGGAATATGTAAACCATTTTGGATTGTGGTCAAGTGATTCAGAGATTATGCCGTTCATACTACCTCAATGAATTTGCATCTATGTAAAAAAGTAAAAGCCTAGCGGTTACTTTTTTTCGTTCTGAAACTGAGTGTAACCAAAAGGAATATGACTTGGATTAGGTAAGAGATTATGCATTATTGGTTCTATAAAGACTCCAATTTCTTTATTTATTTATTTAGAGGGTTTATCAGGACATCCTTTGAACCTCGAGAAGTAATGCACTATGTTTAAATAATCCAATCAAGACGAATTCGAGAATGAACATAATGTTTTGAATGCTTTATTTTTCACTTTTCATGTTGCTTAGTCTATGAATAACTCATATTGAATCCAAAATCAACTAACCCGCCTATTTTATGAGCACTGAATGCAAAATTGCTACCTAGCTAGCTCAATTTTCTGTAAATTTACCTCTCCATAAATACCTACTGGGAAAAACAGCTCAATTTACGTGCTTAAAGCTTAAAATATCGGAATATGACTCTCAGGTTTCACGACCTAAAACTACATTATATTATACGTCTCGGAGATGGATATCCTTTGACGGATTCCTGACCGGGGATGACAGTTTTGATATTTCATATCACTTCATGTCTTCTGGCATGTGTGTACACAAGTTACTTAGTTTTGTACTCACATCATATTTTGAGACAAAAGAATTAAGGCTTTACTGCAAGTTAGATATACAAAGAACGCGTCGCATGTGGATCAAATGATTGTCTACTAATCAGGATCTGCTGCAAATGCGTTGTGCTCTTGCTGCAAAAGGAGTTCTGTATGTCGAATTTGCTCCCTTGAAGCCAGTAGTTGTTCTCTCAATCCAGCTATAACCTGATCTTTGTGATCTATCGCCTGCCTCACATGTATCTCCACCTCCTCCAGCTCCTTGGCCTACAATGTAAATCCAATCGCAATTTGAATACACCTACAATGGACTTACGGTGTTACAGACACAGGTTCTTCATTATATTGAGGTTCATAAGATACAATGCACATGCCTTGGGTTGGTATGTATACTTTTAGTCGAGAAATGGTTGACTGGTTGTGGTGGTGTCACTAAAGAGGTTGTTCAAGTGGAAGTTTCAGAGTTCTCTCCACGACTTGGAAATTTACGGACCTTTTTTATTCGCAGCTGCTGTGTCTCAGCATTTAGCCTGTCGGCGTCTAATTCGGCCGCTTGCAGTAGCTCATGCTCCTTAGAAAGCCTGAGCTCGAATCGTCGTTCTTGTTCTTTCAGATTTGCTTTCTCTTGCTGGATCTGGCTTTCAGCACAGAGCATCAGGGAAATCTCCACAAAAAACTTTCACACCAAATGCAAAGCACGCCTCCCATGGATGGATAAGGAGCAATTGAGCATTGTTTTCTTGCTGACCCGAAGAAGCCGTTTACATTCAACTGCGGTTCATTGCCAAACTGACTTCCTTCTCCAACTTACGCATAACTAGTAAGCATGACCTTAATATGGTTGATTGGAAATCACAGAGCCGGACCAAACCTGTGATTTGAGATGTTCGATAAGATCAGCTTGACACAACAATTCCCTTCGAAGTGACTCTACTTGCATGTCTTTATTGGCAGAGTCCATCTCAGCCTTCTGCTTCGCCTGTATAAATCCGAAGTCTCGTGGTTGATATGGTACAAATGTGCAGTAAACACTTACCCAAAGATGGTCTAAGAAACTCTCTCCATGATTTTATCGTCTTCTACCCTATATTTTCCAGCTCAGCGGTTAGTTGTATAGCATAGACTGCCAATGGTCGGACCCTCGTCTAGTAATCTTCCCTGCACTTCAAGTCAACTCACTATGGTTTGTAGGAGTAGAGTACCTCAAGAGCGACCTTACATAGGTTGGCACATTTGGATTCAACCTCCTTCAACTTCTTCATGGATTCCAGCTTTTCCTCCATCAGAGTCTCCACTTTGACAAGCAGTTCTTGTTGATTTTGGGCTATAGCTTCATCTTTCTCGTTCTCCATCTTTTCAATTATCATCTCAATTTGTTCATCTCGTTCTTTCGTGCACCTAACTTTATGGAACACAAATTACATTCTATACCCGACAAAGCTCCTAAGTTCCACGATAAAGTAGGAGAGGGAATCTTGAATCGTAGTCGAAATGCGTTATGCATGTATTTACTGAAGCAGATGGACTCACCTTGATTTCATCTCATCAACTTGAATCTGCAATTTCTGCCGAAGCTTTTCGTCAAAATCTTTTTGCCAATCATTTTTGAACCTCTGCAGCTCTGCTTGCATTGTGAGTAATTCCGCGTTCTTGTCAGCTACGGCGTCTTCTATAGACTTTTCAAGACTTCTCTTAGAGGCTGCTTCTCTGCATTTGGAAACCAAGTCTTATAATAGAGAACCCTGTAGTAGTCAAAACACAGCTTCTGCACTCTGAATTAACTGCATTTTGAGAACTTTTTTAAGAAGCTTAGATCTGTGTAGAAGAGAACACCTTTTGTTGGATAAGATGAGGCCAGACTATATTACACAGATTGGTGCTGCACACCTGTCATTGGATTCCTGTAGTGCTTTGGAAAGCATTTCGTGAGCTATCTGCTTATCCTTACGCCGTGCTTCTTCTACCTTTTCCAGCTCCGCTGCCATGTCACTAGAAACTTTCCTTCGAAGTTCCATCGCCTGCTGCTCATACCTGACCAACATCGTCACTCAAAAACAGTGTGCCACCAAGTTTGAAGGCTGACATAGAAAATGTAGTGATCCTCTGAATAATACTGCATGGGGGAATGAAACTACTTGACAAATCGTATACTCATAAATTATGAGTATAATTGTCCAATACATCCTTGAATGCGGTCCGCTTGAAGACGGCACATGCATAAGTTGGAGTTCTTTGAACCCCTCCCTGTCTACCTTGCCAATATTGCCGCTCAAATATCTGACATAGACTGCCTTCAATTATGAACTGTCATTTTACAAGAATAAATGCAACTTATAAGCCACAGGGACCCTAAGCTAAGTCCAACTTACGGTAGAAAGCAAGTCATTAGAGGTACAGTGCTACGCAGTAAACTTATAACAGAAATACAAGTGATGTTGTCTCTCGTGCATGTAGATCTAGCCATTAAACTACCCAGCTGGTAAGATACTACGATGGATTCCCATCAGTAAGAACAATAATCATTGTGGACCGGTGATCATTTGAAATTTTCATATAGGTTGGTTACAGCATTTTGATGCAGGGATGAGATTATTATAAGATTTGAACTCTTGTACACTGACTTGAACTATTCAAGAACATGCATGTGAAAATACCACCAAGAGGACTGGACAAACATACTTCTCAGCCACATGATTTATTCTCGTTAGAGCGGACATTCTCTCCTTCTCCAGAATTTCATCTCGTTCCTGGTAGAAGCCATTTGTAATACATGTTTTAGAGACATTTCACACTTCAGATTCGGAGTTGTCGTTCTAGCAAGTACTTATATGCAGTAAACTATTCTTAATTAGACTTACCTTGAGGAAGCGATTTCGAAGATCGCAAATCTCTTGCCGATGGTCAATTGACTGTAATTCTAATTTCTTTTGCGTTTCATCGGCATATCTTGTCTCCAACCTTTTGATTTCTAGTTTGTGTTTCTGCCAAAACCATTTGAACTTGCTTAGGTGGGAGAGCATATACATCGCCTTGCCATGCAAAGGACTGATTGTGATTGTGGGAATCATAGATTCCTTCCACTTTTTATGGACTTCACTTCTCGATATGGTTCTTATGATTTGATGGCGAATTTTGCAAGAGAAAGAACAACAGGATACGCAGAATTAAGTTTGGGATATCCATTATGGTACCTTACCTCGTTCAAGCCTTCGATGTGTGGCTCTAACCCCTTTATTGTTAGCTCCTTAATTTCTTTGATCTTTTTTTCTTTCCATGCTTCCCGTCTGGGTTTCTCTCCTGCTAGCCAAATCTCTTTTTGCTGGGGAAAGACAGAAACCACAGTAAACGAAGCAAATTCAGACCAGAAAGAAAAATGGATTTAAACCTTGTATCGAACCTCTTCAATCTTAAGATTGTCAAGTTTCTCGTGACCTGCAACTTATAAGAATCAATTATCTCTGAAGTCCTAAGTTGATCCACGGACAAGCTCATGTACCTTCTTCAAATCCTGTGCAAACTTCTCTTTCAATGCGGTCATTTTGTCCTCGAACTGCATCAATAAGGATAAAAGGTTGGATAGTTGAGGTATCTTTCAAGTTGATGATAAATCTAGTACAATATTGTTACAACTCCTTTTTTGTACATCTTATTAAGGTGCATGAGCTTGAGTACCTTATAACATGTTGTTCGCACCTTAATACTTGTTAGAAGGTGCGAACAATTTGTCTGAGGAGAAGTGATGTAGTTTGTTACAGAAATAGGTCCGCTAAACAAACTAAGGGAATTCTTATCATAAGGTAGGTAAAGCTAATGCCAAAAGCAATGTACCTTCAATTCTACAGAGTTCAGGATGCCTGCGAGGTTGCAACATTTCTCAGACAGAGCCTCTTTATCCTTGACCATCTTCTCATTCAAAGCGAGATGGTGCTGAATCGCTGCTTTATACTCTGCAGCTCTAACTTCCAACTCTTTCCCAAACCTATCGCGTTCTCTGTTCACATCTAGAACGCAAATATTATAGATTGACGAGAACAATTTTTTTCGCTTCAGAGGTTACGATTGTTATTAACGTGTCGCTTTATTCAGTAAGATGTTGGACCACACTGATGTAAACGCCTGACCTCCTCCAGTCTTGACAAGTGTATGTTGGATCAAAAGTTCGTGTGTTTCCAATCACGGTTTAAAATAGACATAATTCAGAAGCAAATACCGATATGCAAAGAAACCAACCGCAGCCATTATTCAATCGGCACGCACTTCACTTTAGAACAGAGAGTTAACTGCGTATACTTACAATGACAAGGCTTGATCTCTGTCTGCCTTGAGTCTCTCTATGTCTCTAAGGAGCTCGGCGTTTTGGGATTCTTTTGTGGCAATTGTGGCTTTGAACTCCTGCATTTTCTTTCGGACGCCTTCAAATAAAGAGTTGGCAGAGCTCAAGCCTGCTTCATCTCCTGAATGATTCGACATGTTGGTGAGGGATGTAGTAAAGGTAGAATTAGCCAAAGAAACACTGTCTTCGTGTTCGAGGACAGTACACGGAGAATGATTCCCCTTGAGACTGAAGGAGGTACCTTCCTGTGCAAGATCTCTTCTCTGGAGAAGCTTATAATTCTCCTGAAGATTGGATTCTTCCACGTGACCCAAGTAAGAAAGTATGCTGCTAAATTTTTCAGAAGATAGAGATGCACGGTCAGTTGATTCGGTTTCATCGTGAAGAGGATTGCTCCACAACCTGGGTATGACTTCGGCGGTCGATTTTCCCTCCATTCGAGGTATGACGCCTAAGCCATCTCGAGGTTGAGTGCTTACGCTGATTTCAGATGAACAGTTACTTGCCTCCTGTTCTTCTCCAAGTCTCTCTGAGATATTTGTGTTGCGACAGGATTGCCCACTAGGATTACCGAGTGTAGGGGGATCTGGAAGATGTGGCAGATCTGTTTCTGGATCTGGTAGCCCTGAAACCTGAACCCCGTACTTCGAATCCGTTCTCTGGACTGCTTGCGCTTCAAGAAGATTGCGACCACCATTGCAAGTTGAGTCCACCACCTCACGAGCTTCGCTCTGAGAGGTGGACTCTCCTCCCGGTAGATTAAGGGCTCTCAGATTATGGTCTATTCTAATTTCACGAAATTTAGCGGGTGGTCCGGATATGCTCATTTTCTTCGTCGACAATAATTTTGGTGGACTTATACCAGCCTCCTCCTTTCGCTTCATCTCCCGTTCCTTCAGGATGCCAAGAGGAAAACCTGCCTCTGCTCTCATCAGAACCTTGTCCTTATTACCTGCTCCTTTGATCTTAATGTCACCTGTTGCAGAGGATTGTGAGCTGTCATCCCTTCTTTTTCTCTCTATCTTGTAAAGTGTCGCCCTCTCAAGAGACCGTTTGGTCTTCGAACTGAAACCACCTACACTGGTATCAGAGGCGAGTGAGACCTCCTCACTCCACTTGCCTGGGCTTCGACCAGCTCTCTTTTCGAAGGGCCTGTCGCTCCTTATGTGCAAACCACGACTCTTTAGGTTAGTGTTTGCTGGTGATGTACCGTCAAGCGGAAGTTCACCCCTACCTGTCTCTACAACTTGGACTGTCGCTCTTACCGAACACAGATCGTTTTTCCCTTGAAGATCATCATCTTGAGTGCTTCCATCTACTTTGATTATATCTGCAAAGTATTCTTCAGCTTGGACCTTGTCTGCCTGCGGGCACTGGTCACTATTTTCGAAAGGGAAACTTTCTTCATAATTAAACTCTAAATTCGGCAAACTTTCTCCGGGAAGACCATCACTATTGCTCCATGCAGAAGTTGTTGAGAGCCTTTCGACATGATTCCTGTCGGACGAGGTCGGTGCTACCTTTGGCCATCGTCGTCTCCTTGGTGACCTCGGATCCCCTGTATCCTCCAAATCGTCATCAGATACCACCCATGAGAAAAAGGGCTCCCCGTTTGCCTCACACTTCAAGCTATTTGCCATTCCCTCATCCTCGATGTGTGATTGAGAAGTCGATCTTGTTGCCTCATGAATACAGCTGTCATCCCATTCTCCGTCATCCTGCTCCATTAAGACTAAGTTCGGTTCCGACCTTTCAGATTGAGCGGCAGCCTCAGAAACCTGATTTGACATCATAGTCTTGTCTGGTTCTCTGGGACCTGGTGAAAGACTCCGATCATCCGTCTTAATCTCTTCCAAGTAACTGGAGCTGCATGGCGCAGAAGGTTTCATTCCTGGCTCAAAAGCCATGTTGATTCTCATCAAGACGCATTGCTCTGGGCTCCTCAGAGAAGCTACTGATAAAGCATCCCGATCGCTTCCAGTTGTTTCGTCACAGACAAGAGGACAGGCGTCTCTTGTACAGGAGTTTTCCTTCGAAAAAGCCCCTGATGAACATAACACCAATTCATTCTGTAACCCTTCCAAGTTTTCTCCTAACGGAAGCAACATCTGCTCGACCGGATAGGACGAGGATCTCTTTCCTACAATGCTTCTCTGCAGACGAGTAAAAGTCGGCAAGGGAACTCCAGGAACGAAGAACACGTCAAGAGATTGAGGGAAACTCTTATTTTTTGCGTCATGGTCTTTTTTCTTCGGAGTTCTGGTTCCGAAGGCCACAACTCCCTGTGATGATTGCCACCGTTTACAAGCAACTACACTCCTGTCAGTTTTGATCTTCGACACATGAATCTTTTCTTGCCACATTTGTGGTGAAACCGATGCAGGTCTGCTAACCACTTCCTTCTGAGCTGCCTGAAAACACATCAAATTTATTTCAAAACACTCCGACCTTGCTGTGATTCACTGTCGTGACATCGTCTTAGATCGGATGACTGATGAGCAATAGGGTCAGTAAGACTCAGATGTAAACTTCCGTTTTTTTTTTTAATTCGTAAAAACTGCCATTCGTTACAGCCATGAACCCAGCTTCTGTTATCTCTTAGAACTCACACAGGTCTTACTGGATCAATTTTTTGTTCGTCGAAATACCCATGACTTGGTCAGATGGAGCTTCGAATTTGGACGTTGCAAGTCTGAATTGGAGTATGGGCCGAAGGCAATTAAGCACTGGACGATTGAGTTTATCAGCAATGACTGAGCTACAACCTCGTCATATACAGGGGAGAAGAAGGAGCAATACATACAGCTGTTGAAGATTTCCGCAAACAGAACAAGCTTACCGGAGGGTTTGGGTTCGAAGCTTTGTTACGCCGAGGTAGCTGCTGTTTACGAGTTCGGCTACCAGGTCTCTCTATCGCTGAGTAGGCTTCCAGTGAGGTTAAATTCAAGGGCTTCAAATCTGCTACTGCTGCGGGTGTTGGCCCTGCGCTGACAGATACCGCATGCTGGGCGACTGCAGCAGTCTCTGGGTTGACGGTAACATTAACTTTAATCTGAGCTTGGTGAGCACTTTCAGAGGTATTCAGAGTGTCAGCTATAAAGCTTCTGCTCAGATCTGGGGAGACGGTCCTGCATCGCAAAATAGGTGAGGAACTTTTACTGCCAACACTCATGCTTGACGTGTCGTGCGTAAAAGCACCACTAGAAGTGCTTGAATCCCATTTCGCCGGCGACTTTTTCTCGTTGTCTCTCACCGTGGCTGTAGCAGGGTAAATTATTGCGAATTTGTCAGCAGAAAGTTGACAGAACCTCTGGCAGCTCTCGACACTACGCGAGCAGGGATGTACTCAAACAAGAGAACGCTCATCGCCTTGTGAGACAGTAACATGCAGTCCTGGCCTTTTGAGCATGCTGGACTGAAAAAAATGCCTACTGTCTTACAAACTTGTGCTTAGAGAGGATGTGCTAGTTTCAGCATAATTTCTAGGCCCATTCGTCGTGCGATTGGGAGACGGATCTCTTCCCAACTGTCCCACAAGGGAATATGAGCCTCTCATGGGGAAGAGTTCCCTCGTTTCGATTCAATTGTAATTATTATTTTTAAGGTTGTCAAATCAGCTGCTATGCTAGCAACCAAAAGGTACCTTAGTTGCAACAGCCATTTCCTAGGGCTTAATTGCTGAGCAGAAGCACATCAACAAGTTGGATTGTCCGCAACGCTGTGGGGTGGGTTTAGTTTGCTGGAGTGCGTACTCAGTGAGATGCTTCAACCCACCTGGAAACTTACAATCGCTGTCCGATGCAGACAATCTCCCTCTGCCAGGGGGGGACTTGCCATTGTTCGAAGCTTGCGAGTAAGGTCGCCATAAATCAGTCGAATTTCTAAGTTTCCATGCTTTGTGCGTGCTATCCATCCTCGTGATCACTCGGAATCGTACAAACCGAGACCACTGAACTTTATTGGCCTTTCCTTGGACGTCAATCTCATCACCCTTTGCTTCCGCTTATTTTTCCCCGCTGCATCTTCATTCACTCATATACCTCCCGTCCCCACCAAAGGGCCCTCCACGACCACTCACGTCTCAAATCACCACTGCCCGCCCACATCCGCATTGACCACTGTCTTCATCCTCCCCGCCCTAAAGAGCGTGCTCCTCGCACACTTCCTTTCTGACCTACGCTGTTTGGACTTCTGAGGAATCAGTGAAGACTTACAGCTCGACCCGAATTTCTTGGAGCTCTAATTGAACCGACATTCGGCAAACACTAAACAGACGGCCGTTTACGAGCCCAAGTCGAATCAAAAGATCTCCAGACCGTAAAATCGATATCCTGCAACTCTGAACGCAAAATTTGCAGTTGGCAGAAACTGCCGTCTTCTCTCCTGGCAACCAAAGGAATGTGATCAACCAATTCTGCCCTAACGGAGAAAAATGATCACCACTGCACACCTGAAAACTATGACCCTAATCTGCGACTTGTGGAACCAGCTGCAGACGGTAACTGTTAGTTTCTCCGTTAAGTTCTCAAGACTCGAGCCAAATGATCGCTCGCCCGTACTTCGATTACTCGTTCCAGGCGACTACGATCAACCAACTTCCGCACGAAAAATGCACGAGAAAAAATCAAGCCCATTGCACGGAAGGATGCAAATACTCACTAATCTTTTTTCCGCCTCATCACCTGACTGTCGCTCGGATTCTCGCTTGCCGCGCACAATCTGCAGGCCTCGATTGTAGTTTTCTTGTTATTCTTACGAGCACCTGAGATAACAAATGGCGATGGATCAGTATCGAGAGCAGTCTCCTCGTACAATGACGGCGAAAATAAATGCCTCATCTCCTCTAGCCTCTTAGAGAAAGAGTGACACGCACACAATTAGTAAAAAAATCAGTGGACCTAACACCAATGCACGAGGATTACAAGCACCAAAATGAAATGCAAGAAAAATTGAAAACATTTAAGCTACAGATATCAGACATAGTGTGCTAAATAAGGATGCACTAAAAAAATGCATTTGCTGTAAACAAAAGAACGACTTTTTTCTACATAGCATAGAACGTGAATAGTTACGTGACGTTGGTTATGATTTTAGCCTTTAATTTTACCTTGATTAATGACTCTTTATACATAAAGAAATCTTAGTGCCTAAAGAATCTAGATTATTCTTACTTTCTCTAATGCTCTCTATTAAACCTAAACATCCTAGTTTTAAGGCGAATTCTAAAGTTTTCGATTTTTTCTTGAGTTTAGATTTGAGATTTATCTTACACTTGGCATACACTAAATTCCAAATCAACAACTGAATTGTGAACGGTAAAATTGAAGAAACATTAAACACTCATGAGAGACAGATATAATGTGGTACTAGGGGAGGAGTGCTAGGTCCACCAGAACAGTGATACACCTTTTACTCAAAATCTGTGATAACAACTGAATGTACAAGGCAAAGAGTGCAAGGTATTTAACCCCTAGATCAAGCGACGTTTCAGCTATAAATACTTAAGTCAATCTCCCCCTTAACTCTTGTTAAGAAAACTCAGTAACCTCTCTAACCTATATCATTACTCCGCGGGAAATTCTATACGGGTTTAGGGTTTTAAAATCATATCTCCCCCTTAACTCGTGTTAAGTAATCTCAATAACCAGTGCACTTTTAACCTCTTAACTTTTCATCTCAAGTTAAAGAATTTACCTCTTAACTTAGGTTAAGTAAACAGTGCACTCTTAAACTTTCATCATCTACGTGAGCAAAGATTTATACTTGTCAATATGGAGACTTTAAACACTCTCCGTCTATTTCAACGAGCTAGGCACATTGAAAAGACAAGACTACTCACCCCCTCTTTCAATGAGCTAGGGACATTGAAATATAACTTTTGACAAGGATTCTTTTGACGCTCAAGACTCATCGTTGACTAATTGCGCCCGCGACTAATTTTGGCCTCCTCGATGTCGTCCGCGATGGCTGTCACTTGTGACCAACTCTCAGAGTGCCCGCGACTAGTCCTCATTGTCGTTTGCGCCCGTGACTGACCGTGTTCACGTCTTACAGCGCCCGCTACTAACATGTCACTTGTGAGTATATCCCACCGTCGCCCGCAACTAACTGCGCCCGCAACTAACCATTACTGTCGCCCGCAACACACCGACCGTCACCCGTGACAACCTTCGCCGGTGACCATCGTTGCCCATGACAACCATCACCCGCAACTAAATCGACCGTCATCCGCGACTTCCGTCACCAGTGATCATTATCGGCCACAACTGCAATATTCGTCATCTTCAACTAACGTCGCATGTGACCACCTTTGGCCGAGAACTTCACCGTCACCGTCAGAATCGTCAACGTTAGCGTTAGAACTGTCATCGTTAGAACCACCGTCGACCACGTTTCTTTTACCATGACTGCGTCCGCTTGGATCACGTATGCAACAACCACATCCGTACTGACCACGTTCATAGCAACCACGAGTGCGTGAACCTTGACCACATCCGCCGCGACTGCTACCATGTTGACTGTAATCACATGCACTGCAACTACGATATACCCTGACCACGCCCGATTGCACTGTGATGGGGAGGGAGTAAACCACAATCACCTCATACGTCAGTAACAGGCTTTTGAGTTTCCTGTGCTCTTCTGCCAAAATGTATTGAAAGTAAGCTACAGCAGAATCGGAAATAGAAATTTGAGAAGGTATCTCTTCTCCTTCTAATTCAACAGGAAGCTCAAATGACTTTAGGATTTGAAGTTTCTTGCAGTGTTGATCAACTGGAGACCTATCGAGTCCAAAGTCGCAAAGTACTCCAAACCAATTACTCATATTCCAGTTCTGGGTGTCTAGAGTCCTAAGACTCATATCTATCATACTTTCTCTCCATTCTCCGAGGCCATGAGTGTGGTGAAAGAAATATTTTTTCTCTCAGAGCTTCTACATTCTTCAGGGTTCACTCTTGTGATACACTTAAGCTCAGCGTCTCCAGATTTCTTACTCTTTTGCTCGGCCTCACTAAGACTCACACGTGAATAGTTGACCAAAAGTCTCTGACTGAAATATCATAAATGTAATTTTATCCAATTCCAACATAGAGATAGAGTTCAATTCCATTGATTTCACTTGTTGTTTGTAATTGCAAATGTCTGAGAATCTAGCAACCCCTGCTAACTGTACTATCAAGATTGACCTAATAGGACTTCACCTCCGCCTTCGCAAACTATGAGCACTAGACATGCAATACTAAGAGATGTTGCTGAAGTTGAAACTTAAGTAATCCAATGAGAGAACTATTTGCAACTCAAAAAAGGAGCAAATAGTGTCTTTGAGATACAGTAGATAGAGCGAACTGCTTCAAGTTCTTTGATTGCATGACCACAGCTTCGCCATCACTACCACTGGACCCATAAACGTCCCATTTGTGACCGCCTATCCGATCTTCAATCCAATCCAGAGGAAGACTTCATGGCTGAGAGTATGACTGCAACAGTTGCTGCTGCTGGAGCAACAACAACAACAACAACAACAGGCGTACTTTCTCTGTTCTTGCATCTCTGACTCCAAAGCACTATAACTCTTCTTTAAAATCTTTGAATAAATTGTCACAGTCAACAAACTATGAAAATCGCCTGATGAATCATCGTTCAAAAACTGTTGATAGAAACTCTTCAAAAAAAATCACCAAACAAATCCTTGTTCACAAAACCAAAGACAAATTGTCATAGTCAAAAAACAGAACCGACTCTGATACCATTTGTGAACGGTTAAACTAAGAAAGCAATAAACACTCATGAGAGTCAAATGTAACGTGGTTCATCCTCGGGGAAGGAGGACTACCTCCATCAGAACACCAATACAACTTCTACTCAAGGTCTATCGAGAACGTCTGAATGTACAAGGCAGAGTCCAAGGTATTTAACCCCTAGTCCAAGCGACAACTTAGCTATAAATAGCTAAATCTAGAGTTTATTCCTCAACCGGAGTTCAACTCAACATGAATGTTATAATGAATTTCATACAATCCCTCACACACATCATAATAAGAGAACAAATAGTGCTCATATCTTCATCTTTACACCCCAACCATGTAATCTAAGAATGGAATCATTCATAAATGTACTCAACAAAACTTATATCAATTCACATATGAGATTCAAATCTTATGTTACATCAAACAATCAATCATTTACACTATTTTTTAAGATTCAATATATCATATGGTTGAAGTTAGTTTGGGAAGAAATAATTTTTCTCGCATTCAAAGATTAATTTTCTCATATAATTCACATATCCAATACACACATGAATACATACTTGCCCTAAATTTGATAATCTAATAAATTTTAGTTAAATCTTGAAGCAAACATCAATTCAATATTTAGCACTATAGTTTAAACTATAGTGCTAAATATTGAATTGATGTTTGATTTCATATTGAATTCATAGTATTGATTCCCTTGAAATTTTTCATTACATATGTCAATGACATGACATAAATTTCTGCAGAATAAAAATACAAAATAAAACCTAAATAATAGTATTTAGGTTGAAAATGATATACAAATAACATAAGGTTCGTAAATATTAGATATGTTAAGAAATGGCTACAAAATATTTCAAGTATTGCATAAATGTTTCATTGTTTGATAATGAATCATGAATAGTTGTTTAATGCGAAGCACTTTTACTTTATTTACGCTTTTCATTTTTTTTCATATTGTTTTTCTGTTTTTCAATTGTAAAATTATAAAAAATAAACTATGTTTGAATGACATAATTAATTTATTGAGATGAAAAAATTAGAATATTATTTTTATCAACCATAATTTTAAATGAATATTATATGTATGATATTTTAGATCTAAAATTTCAAAGCTAATTAAAAGACTATGAAAATAATAATTTTCATCAAATTTTGAGGGATTTAGTTATTTTTTTATTTTTTTTAAGCTTTATATAATTTGTTTATAAATAAGATTTTATTTTCTATTTTATATTAGAAATTTTATAAAAAATAAAAATTTAATACTACAATTTTTTCACAAAGCATTGATTTCTAATCTCATTAAAAAAATTTGCTGAAAATCAAATTTGTGGAGTTGTTAATTTTTGAAAATATTCAAAAACAAGAGTAGCTTTTTATCTATGCTTTGAGATTTCCGAATGTAATTGAGGGTCATTCATAAACCACACATCAAAAACTACACTTTATAAATATGTAGATTCTGCCTACATGCTACTATCATGGATCATCTCAAATGTATTGAGACAAAAAACCTAAAAGAGAGAAATATATAGATTTTGCCTACATGCTACAATCACAAATTAACTCAAATTTTATTGAGACAAAAAACCTAAGAGTATTATCAAGAGTGATTGCTAGCTCTCTTATATATTGATAGTGTTAGTTCAAACTCAAGTCTCAGATCAAAATCTAGTTAGTAATAGATTTAGTCTTAATACTAATCAAGAATAAGAACTATGAATTTTGATAGTTATATTTATTCCAATTTTTGTCTCAGCTCTAGTTAACCTAATTGTAGTTAGAGTTAAATTTAGGTTAAGAATTAAGTATTAGGAATTAGTCATTCTTCACTAAAGCCATCTC